AAGTTTTCTACTTATTGCAAAGAAAAATCAAAACGAAGCACTAAATTTATATAAATATTCATTTGCTTTAGAAATCATTGAATATGAGAAACAGGGAATTAATGCAGCAGCATTTAAATATATTTCGCTGAAGCATTCAGTAATTGAACTATTCCAATTATGGAAACACTCTGAACTATCCCTGCGACACGAATTTCTGCATAGTTTTTGTCTGTCTTTTTCTCAATACAGATGGAATTGAAATTATAAAAATACATAACCAATCGTTTTAATATAAAAAATCGAATTATATATATATAAATTATATATATATCAAAATTTTAAACTTGAGCTTTTCCTATTCAAGTTTAAATGATAGAATGCTTAATAATATTTATATAAAAAAAAAATTTTTAATTAGACAAACAGATATCTCGTTACTGGTATTAGTTACTAGTGTTACGTGTACATTTAAACTTAAAATGAAAACTATGCTTGTATATTATCATTTTTTATCGCTGAGGAACATCAACGTGTTTTACAGATGATTTTAAACTTGGTGAAAGTATTTTTCTACTGTTATTGTCGCGAAACTTTTCTCGTTTCGTCCAATAAAGCACAGCGCGTTTTAAAATACTTGTTCATTCCTTTCAACTTTTTTATGATAATGATCATACTTTCATAAATAACGATACATAGATTCTATAATTAAAATTCAATTGCTTATCCTGTTATTAAAACGATAAAATCAAAGGAACTATTCTGTGTTCTTTTATTAGAGAATATTGTTCTCCTGTGAAAATTATGTATACATTTATCATGAATGTCTATTCGTTTGCTGCAACTATACTTTAACTTCTCTCCATTTCTCTAAATCAAATAATTGTCGAAAACAAATTTCAACTTCCTAAATAACGTTCCAAAACCAATTTCTAATATAAATTCGTATTTATTCGTTGTAATGTAAATTAATAAATTAAATATTTTTATTTATTTTCTATAGGTGCAAATTATTCACTTTCGAATATATATATACACGTTTTATGTAAAACATGAAAAAAATATAGAAATGTGCAAGTTTTGCATAGTTTCTTTTTAAAAGGAGGATTACAACGAAGCAATGTTTTGTGCAAACTTCACGCTTGTTTTTGAAATTTTCAAGATTTTTATACTTTGTTTCGTAAAAAGAGACTTCACGTCAAGAAAGATGCGTATCTCACATTTTCGACTTATTTTTCAAACAACCAGCTCTCATTCGTAACAAGTTTTTTTCTCAATTTATGGAAACTGAGCTAGAACGAAGTTTAAAAAGGAAACCGAGAACTTTGAGAACGTTCTCTAGTCTCAGAAAATAAATAGAACATTCGGACAAAGTCTGAAAAGAAATCCAGAGACAACGAAAATCTATTTTTCCTAAATGTAGTTTTACTCTTTTTTTCTTTTTTTTTTTTTTTTTCTAAAATAATTTTTCACGGAATTTACAGGAAGAATTTTAAAACAATTCAACGAATGGACAAAAAATTTTTCATATTCCAAATTCTCTGAAAATATCAATTTTATATCCAAATAATGCACGAAATAACTCTTGCGAATAACTATATCGACGTGTATATAAAATTTTATTTATCTATCGCCAATAATATGTAAATATCGTTTATCATACAATTCACAAATTCATAATCGTATATCTGTTCAATTCTGCTTTCGCATTTTCAATTATTGTATCTACCGATATCCTCGATACACAACGAGATGAATTGCACTTCATAATACAAGCATGATACGAGAGATTTTATGGCCTCAAACTAATTTAATTCTATTCTATTAATTTTTTCAAAAAAAAAAAAAAAATAAATTTCAAAAATTAATATTACTTTTTATCCCAACTATTTTTTTGCTTCGTCGTATCTTTTTTTAGCACCAAAATCGGTGCTAAAGAAACGTTTCTCCAAAATAGTATAATCGAAAGAAAGTCTTATACGATATTTACCGATTTAAAAAAATGTCTCTTTCTCAAATTTTGAATCACCTCGCAAATCACCACGCGCCGTTCATATCAAAGCGAATCGAAAGCGTGCAAAACTCCGGCGTCAATTCTTCACGTACGCGCACCCTACAGGTTGATACTCGTGGGCGTCGGGGTTGATCCCATCGGTATTTTCCGCAAACAGGACTATTCGTCGAAGAAAATCGATACAAGGGGGAGGGGGGGGGAGAGAAGGGAGGGAGGGACACTCGGCACACGTTGGATAAACGAACGATGCTACGTGGATCGCATATTTCAAAGCCTTCGACTATTTCGCCAACAATGAAACGCAACTTGTTTTTTCGTGTACAGTGGCTACAGCGGGCCGCGTATTGGCCGCCTTGTTTACAAAATGCTTTATGCACGCGAGGCAAATATGGAGCAAAAGTATAATCGGTGAATACAGACAATCGTGTTACAATCGTGCTTTCCCTTTCTTCCTCATTTTTTCTCCATCTTTTTTTCTTTTTTTTTTTTTTTTTTTTTTTTTGGACAAAATTTGTCGACTTTCAACGGGCGTTACAATCCTATCGATCCATCCGGCGAAACAACGCCGTTTCCATCCAGGAGACGCCGGTTTTCCCTTTTGTTCGCGCACCAGAGACGATTTACTTCGATTCAAACGCGAAACGGTAAAAAGACAGTGAGGAGGGCCGGAACACAGAGAATATTTGTAACTTAAACTCTCCTGGGGAAAAGAGAATCCGATACTTCCGCGATTCTGTTACTTCGGCACCGCTGCTGGCGAATTTCAGAAGTGAGTGCTAGGGAAATTTGTATACCCCAGACGATGGATGCGAACGAACGACGCGACGTTTCTTCTGTTGAGGGGAGAAAAGAAGAAGAAGAAAAAAGAAAAGGAGGTAACAGGCTATCGAACAAGCAATTGTTTCCAAATATAACTTAGTCGAAACGAGATGCAGCGTTTTGTTTTTTTTCCTTTCCACCTCTTCACATTTTCTTCTTACTCGATTTTGTGCTTTTTATTTTACGAAATATGAACGTGTGCTTTAATAGACACACAAGTAATATATATTTTTGAATTGGTTTTCCTCATTATTAAATTATTTCTTAAATTTAAAGGAAAATATTTTACACAAATAATAAAGTGATAATTTGAAGAAATTGTATTAAAATTGAAAAAAGTATAAGATACAAAGATTCAAATAATATGAACTATTATTTATGAAGAAGTAGAGTATTTATATCGAAGCTTAATACAAATTAATTGTAGAAAATGGTGATAAATGGACATTAAAAAGAAGATTTTTGAAAGGCAAAGCAAAAATTTTAAAAGAAATATATCCAATAAGAAGAAAGGGAGAAGCAAGCAATGATAGAAACGAAATTTAAGATTTAAATAATTTAGCGTTGATCAATTTATGACATAGAAAGAAATTCAAGAACATTACTTTTCTTATTTTTTTCTCGACTCTCGATTACCCACTTCTTACGTAAAAAATACAAATAAGTAGCCAGAATCCGAAGCAAACACAATTGAAGTACGTCAATCTAGATATCGAACGTAGGAAATATTTGCAATGAAAACTTCTAAGGAAAACGGTATTCAGGCTGTTTGCATTTCCACAGCACCCGCTGCCTCACTGTGCAGTCGCTTTCACGAATATCGTTCAACTTTAGAAGCGATAGTATTGAAAACCTGTGCTCGTGAGAAGTAACTTATTCGAATGGCTGCTTAACAAATGATTCCAGGAGGTTGACATATTTGTTTATTATTTATTTGCTTACAAAAAGGAGAATAGAAGGAGGTATACTTGATCAAATTTGATTTCGCGAAACATTGATCATTTAAATGTGGAATTAAATTGTTTTAAAGGAATCATTAATAAATTGTGTGTGAACATAATAATTTTTATAAATTCGTTTATAAAATTCATGCTTCGAAATCATGAATTTTATTTTCAATAATGATTCTCAGCAATTAAATTTGCATCAAGAGAAATATTTCTTAAAAACATTTCATTGTCGACATCTTTCTTTTGGTTTCAGTTTCTAATGAAAAGTTATCATGCTTGAATTCCGAGAAGCAATTATGAACCATCCTATCATTTACATAACCTTCTCCGAGTACTAGAGTTATAATTTCGGCAACTTTGCGACACGTTTTCCAAGTTTAAATTCCACGTAAAGTAATCACATGAATATTCTGATTATTCGTGACATCTGCAATGAAGTTTTAATATTTTTATTACGAATCTCATTGGGCCATTCTCTCTCAATATATATGAATTTTCTCTTTTAACATAATCAGATAGATTATTACGTTAATAAAAATAATTTATACGTAATCTACATTATAAATTTTGCTTTACACGAATCGTTATAAAAATCTTTTCAAAATTTAATAACTTTTAATTCAATAATATATTTTAATTTAAAATAAAAATATTAATTAAATCCATATATCTTTTTTTAATTTTAATAAAAAACGAAAGGAGTTCGAAATGAAATTTTCTATTGTTCAACATCTCTACGCCAATTATTACGCATATCTGGTAAAAAATTATCCGATTTATCATTGATAAATTATACACGATATCAACTTTTCAAGTTAATTTTCTCAAAAATCATGCTTCCATTTCAACGTATACAATTATTCCAAACTTCAACAAACTTTACAAATTTTAATCTATATATCAAACTACACTATCCCTAATAATTTATCGACCTTGTCACGCCTCTCAATCCCTCCCTATCTCTACAATATCCCATCACACTAGAAAGCATCAGCCACGCCCTTCCTAGAAGAAGGATCCTTTCAAGATCTCCAAGTATTCTCCCCAATGCTCGATATGGAAAGTTAGCGTGGAGCAGCCTGTAAAAGGATCAAAACTTAAATGAAGTTAGCGGTTGGATAGAGAATCCCTGCCTGGCGGAAAGGAAATCGAGGGATTGAAAGGGGTGGCGCGGTCGGAGGTTGTAGCAAAGATTCTATAGCCGATTCACGGCGTGTATTTGCCACCTGCAATTCCACCCCCTCCCCATCATCCACCAGCAACCTTTATTTCATCCACAGCACTCTTTATCCCACCTGCCATCGTCTTAAATAATATTTTGCAAAACAGCCGATCCAGAAAAGCAGGAACGTTGCCCAACCGAAACGTTTTCAAAGAAACGTTTCACTTTAAAGTAACCACCGTCGTCCCTCGATTCTCGCGCAATTTCATCCTCCCCCTTCTTCCTTAGAGTCCATTAAGGACTGTTACATCTTTCCATACAATTTGTTTTGCCCTTGCTTTTGCCGAATACCGGCACGATTCTGCGGAGAATCAACAGAAATGCGACGGAATAAGTAATCGCGCTGCCTTCTCGGCAGGTTTCCATCACCGCTATTCTTGCGGCGGATGAAACGAAAACGAGACAACGAGGGGAGAGTTTCAAAGAAGAGAGAGAGAGAGAGGGGGGGAGAGAAAGAGAGTCTGATCAATTTTAAATTGAGAGGAAACGGGGGAAGAGGTCTGAAAACGCGCGCGATAAACCGGATTTAATATAATTCTATTCCAGAATTCTGCACCCTTTTTGCGAATCGCGACTTATGGCTTCTGCTGAATCAAACTTTTGATAACTTTGATATTATTGTTGACAGATATTTCGACGTTTGACGTTTTCATCGTTGTACAATTTGCTACTTTTCTTTCGAAGAGATATTGGAATTATTATTGTATAAAAATTTTTAAACAAAGTTTAAAGAGGATATACGAATATCATAAAGAATGAAAAGATGAGACAAATAATATATCATATTGTACATATATTTCTAACACATAAATTCATTTTACAAACTATCGAATATTTATAAAAAAAAATATGAACAATGCTCATATTTACGCACTTACACATCTATCAGATTGTTATAAAATATCAAAATTCTTGATATTAAAAATTCAATGATTACTTGATATCTATAACAATCTAATATTTAGACAATTGCACGTAACTTAGTGTAAAGCTTATTGAGCATATTACATTAATGCATTCATTAGCATTAGAGAGCGGTCTCAAAGGGATTTCATGGAATTAACTTAATACACGATCGTATAAGTACGTCGTGTAAAAGGAATATCATCCGAGATCGATTCATTGTTAGCTCGTCAACACCGAAAACAGTCTGTTCGAAGTATTAAATCGAAAAATGAATAGTTTCTCGTTTCGTTGCACGGTAGCTACGTAAATACTTTATCTTATTAACAGCTTACATTCTCTCTCGATACGGTCGATATTGGAAGAAGACTTGAACGTAGCTAAATTATTTACAGGCGAATCTCTCACGGCTCATTGTTCGTATTAATTATAACGGCCTATTGTATCTTGGAGGATATTCAAAGGAGGACAGCTAAGACGATGGAAGAAGAGGAAGAAACAAACAAAGGAGGAAGGACAAAGAAGGGAGAAGAGAGTCGAATGAATCGAGTGCAAGAAAGGGAACAGACGAAGCTATTTCCTCTCGGAATAACGCTTTGCCGGTGAATCTGAGACAGAAGTGGAAAGAGTCTAATACACAGGGCTGTCTGCAATCAGAAAGCCAAGTTCTATATTCGCCTTTCGCCCTGATGCCTACATAGATCCTGTGACATATCTCTTTCCTATGTTCATTTGCCCTTTGACGTTCAGAATCCTCGCATCCATTAATATCGGATTAGTATCACGGTGATGCTGGATGCGAGAAATCGGAAAATTAAAATGTTATCTCGATGTCGAAGGAAAAACATTTGATTCTGCGTTCTGAGATTAATAATTTTTCGAATTTTAAAGTTAAACTTTAAAAACTCAGCGTAGAATCTTCAATTCGTGAAACTTTAATTTTCGAGGCAGAGAAAAGATATTTTATTTAACAATGATATTTTTATAATTTTAAATTTGTCGCGTGTTAAAATCATTGATCGATTTCGGCATCACGAAATGGAAATTGTGCTGATATTTTTCGATTTAAAAAATCATATAAATATTGTTTTTTCAATAAAATTTCGATTGATCGGTATTAAAAGTTTGGAATGAGTTCTCGTCAACAATGGCGACGTATCTTTTTACATGACGCACAGGATAAAATGTGCAGGTTAAAAGGATGCACTTAGATATCTCTGTTCTCTTTCAAAGCTGTGGAAATATTGTTAAAGGAGTAAGTGCTGCGGCAGGAAAAAAATTTACTCAAAGTCCCTTTTTCTTTGAAAGCTCGTTTTAGGTTCTTCCTTAATGGAACCTGTATCCTTTGTTAACGCGCTTTATTGCGATATATACAGATAAAATCTATTTATTATTAATTTTTATCACCCTGTAACGAAGCATCAATATACATTCTTATTAAAACCTAAATATTTACATATTTGAAAAGAAGTAATAATAATATAAAAACATAATGAAAACATCAATATAATTTTTCTTTCACTCCATTGAAATTATACTAAGCATAATCTCTTAAATACTGTCACTTAATTACATCATCAACTTTTATCATAAATCAATTATTATATTCTGAATATTTCAGCTTGCTAAATTTCATTCATTCAATAATTTTCCACACAAAGACAACAAACATCCAATATTCCATCCATCTCACTACCATAGTGATAAATTTCTAGGAAAACACGCAACAAGTCTAACAACACGATGAATACTTATCCACGATATTAAGGAAGGAACAAGTTCAAAAAGCAAATGAGAATACCGGAAGCGACATGGAAAGAAAGTCGCGCCACATAGCTTGGCGCATAAATTAGTTGACAGAGATGTGCAACTATGAACATTGTTCCTCGTGCTAATCTATCCTTAAGGGATCGGCCTTAACTCAAACAACCGCATCGTGGTGAAGAATCATCGCGTGATCGAATTTCAATGGCTGGATCGAAGTTGGATCGTGACCGATCTTTCAATCAGATTAATAAAAGGAGAAATTTTCGTAAACAGGAAAATAGGTGACTTTTATGGGTGAGACTGGAAAGGATTGGTAGAATTGGTGATGCAAATAGATTCAAACATTAAGAGATTGGATTCGAATCCTTTTGTATTTCGAAAAAAAAAAGAAAAGAAAAGAAAGAGATATTTTCAGGCAAACGAATTTTGAGCCAGACAGGTTTGAATCTTATAAGTTTTTAGTAGGAGTATTGATATAAGAGAAAAATATTTTCAAATAGAATCGAATAAATTGAGAATTCATTATCGATTTGAAACGAATTTTTAAAAGAAATTTTATTATATTCTCATAAACTAATTATTTATTAATAAATATCTAATATTATTAATATTATTCTTTAATTTATTTAGAAACATTATATATTTTTACTAAAATTTTATAGTAAATCAAATATTACTTTTAAACAATTGTAAAATATCGAAACAAATATTATAAAAATTTTATTTACATAATTTTATATAATTTTCCTGTATTTGTTGCAAAAAAATTCAATGTATCTTACTTCTTAATTCAATTTTTTATAATTTTCTAACTTTTTTAAAATTTCTTTCACTTCAAATTTACAATACTACCCCAATCAATAATGAATTACAATTATAATAATAAATTACAAATATTCTACATCTAAGCCAATCGTACGTATTGAATTTCCCCAATTGATTCCACGACTATCCACGATGGACCGATCCTACATCCCCAATCGTTCTTCCAAGTCGTCCCTTTACACCGAAAAACACTTTCTCGTTGTCCATGTGTCTCGATGTCGGGGAATCCGATAAAAGTTTCGAGGATTATCCGGGGGAGGCGGGTCGAGGGGGAGGAGGAGGGGGATCAAAGTTGGCCCGTAACGCGAGCATATTGACCACGACGAGGTGCGGGAATAATGACGACACGGGT